TACTGTTTTCTTTCATTCAGACAGTTGTATTTCTTTCAGACTATTACTTGTAGTAAGTTCTAGAATGCTCGTGAATTGTGACTCCAGATCCGGGTGGTAGTAGTTAATACAGATTTATGATATTCCGCACTTGTTATATTTTATCGTAGTTAATTATTGCTAATTACTGTACGGAAATAAGGATTTGTAAATGATTCTCTAACGTTGGCTTGCCTAGTAAGTGAAATATTAGGCGCCATCACGGTCCTGTCGGTGGGAAATTTTGGGTCGTGACAAAAGCTATTTGAGCAAAATGTTGAATATGAGTGGAAACCTCTTTACTATAGTTCATGCCTACAATTGGGGCATTGTTGTCAAGCTAAAGCCCATCAACAACACCCCAAGGCTCCACAACACCAGCAAGGCAAAAATATTAAGCAGAACCAAGGATGGAAACCTAAGGGAGGGCAAGAAGAAAAACACAGTAAAATAGACAAGATACAAGAGAAGAGGACTCTGCAAATATCTGAGGGAGTGACAAAGACATAGAGCAAGGAAATGAGCCCTGGAACTAGTAGAGCTCCAGTGCATACTGCAAATGAAGGTTGGCAGACTATAAGAGGAAAGTCTGCTGCTAAAGGGGGCCAAATATGTTGTGAACAGTCAGTAGGGGTGGTAAATGGGTTTGGGCTGCTTGGGGATAATGAAATGCAAGTGCACATTAATGCTTTATGAAGTACTCAGTAAGGTTGCCAAAGTAGTAGAGGGGTTGATATAGGAGGTACTATAATTAATTCCAAATGAAGTTAATTACTTGGAATGTGAGAGGCTTCAACAAAGCCTATAAGCAAAAGAAGTTAAAAAGGTTTATAAGAGATAATAAAATTAATATGATTACTATAGCTGAACATAGAGTCAAACAACAACAAGCTAGTAGAATAATGCAGTAGATAGCACCGACTTGGCAGCAGTGCCATAATTATAAGACCAATGGGAGTGGAAGACTGTGGATACTTTGGGATCCTAATGAAGTTCAATTCAACATGATATGCCATAAAGAACAGTATATACATGGAGAGGTCCTAATTCACGCCTTGAGATTGCAGTTTATCTTTACAGCTATATATGGACTACACACTATTGGGTACAGAAGAAGCTTATGAATTGAAATGCTGAGTCTGCATCAAATGATACATGGGCCATGGCTTTGTATGGGAGACTATAATGCAGTACTAAGTATAGATGATAGATTTAATGGTAATCCTATTCAGGAGCTAGAAGTTAGGGATTTTCAGCAATTTCTCATGGATGCTAGTATGGCTGAAATAAGAGCAGTGGGCAGGAACAATACATGGACTAACAGCCATGTGTTTAGCAGAATTAATAGAGCAATAGGGAATTTTGAATGGATGACACAATTGCCTCATTTAGATGTACCGGTGGTGGATCCCTACTACTATGATCACTCCTCACTATGCATTCAATTCAAAGACAGTCCAAAGAAGCCTAAGCCTTTCAGATTTTTTAACCATCTTGCCGAGCACAAAGATTTTCAAAGTATAGTTAAAGAAGTATGGGATGCCAATCTTGCCACTGACATGAAGACAATTTGGCTGAAACTTAAAATGGTTAAACAAGAACTCAAATGTCTTCACTCCTCAGAGATTTTAGAGATAGAGTCAAGGGTGAAAAATACAAGACAGCAACTAGTAGAAGTTCAAGAGAAAATGCGCGATAGAAGTACATCTTCTGAGTTCCTTGAGGAGGAAAAGCAATTAAAACAACAACTTGAGAAATGGGTATCCGTTGAAGAAAATATTTACCAACAGAAGTCTAGGGTCCAATGGTTGAAACTAGGAGATTCAAATTCTGCATACTTCTGTGCATCTATGAAAAATAGAGTCAATCATAACAAAATCAAAAGCTTAGTTAATATATGGGGAGACATGATTCAAACTGACAAGGGCATTGAGGAAGAGATAATAGGGTTTTATAAAGACTTACTTGGGTCTTCTGCAAATGAATTACCTGCCATACAACCTAGTGTGATGAAAGAAGGGGGAATACTGGGCAGGGGACAACAACTAAAACTAATTGAGCCAGTTACAAAGGAAGAAGTATACATTGCACTCTGTGGGATAGATGACATGAAGGCTCCTAGCTGTGATGGGCTCAATGCTCATTTCTTTAAAAAGACATGGGCAACTATAGGAGATGATATTACTACATCCATGTTGAGGTACTTTGAAACAACTACTATGTATTTGCCTGTTAATGTCACTACAGTTGCCTTGATCCCAAAAGTAAAAACCCTCATCTGTTAGAGATTTTAGACCTATTTCCTGTTGTACAATCATCTATAAGATCATCTCAAAGATCTTAACAAACAGATTGCAAGGAGTTATGGATTTTTTGGTGGATAATAGCCAATCAGGGTTTGTACCAGGAAGGGTGATCACAGACAACATCATCCTTAGTCATGAACTGGTGAAAGGTTATGGGAGAAAAGGGGTATCTCCTAGTTACATGATTAAATTGGACATGCAAAAAGCGTATGATTCTATTGAATGGGTATTCTTAGAGCAAATCTTAAACAACCTGAACATACCTGCTATTTTTGTTGATTGGATTATGAAGTGTGTCTGTACTCTCTCATATTCTATACTAATTAGTGGCAACCCAACAAAGCCTTTCCAAGCTAAAAAAGGACTTAGACAAGGAGATCCACTGTCTCCTTACTTGTTTGTGTTAGCCAAAGAGTACCTGAGTAGAATGCTTAAGACTTTGCAGAGACATCCAAACATCAACTATCATCCTAAGTGTGAGAAATTGAAGATAGTCCAATTGGGGTTTGCAGATGATCTCTTGTTGTTCTGTAGAGGAGATGTCATATCTGTGAGTATGTTATATGAATGCTTTGATCTCTTCTCCAAAGCATCAGGTTTGAAAGCCAATGTGAGTAAGAGCTCTATCTATTTTGGAGGGGTGAATTGTAATGACCAACAACAGATCTTAAGTGAGCTGAATTTCTCTAAGGGTGAATTTCCTTTTAAGTACCTGGGAGTTCCTCTAAGCACTAAGAGGGTATCTGTTTCACAATGCCAACCACTAATAGAGAAAATTCCGGGCATAATTAAGACCTGGACTACCAAATACCTCTCATATGCAGGAAGACTACAACTGATCAAAACTATTCTGTTCTCTATACAGATATTCTGGTCTCAGATCTTTATATTACCAAAGAAGATCCTAAAGAGGATAGAAGCTCATGCAGAAGCTATCTCTGGACAGGTGGTTCAGAAAGTTCAAGCAAGGCTCTACTATCATGGGAGAAGGCATGTTTACCAAAAATAACTCTGGGATTCAATATCCTGGATGTATACACCTGGAACAAGGCTGCCATCTGCAAACTATTATGGAATCTTAGCAAAAAGAAGGATAGGTTATGGGTCCAATGGTTACATATGTACTATGGGAAGCAGGAACCAATCTGGATCAAGGCACCCAAGCAAGCCTCATGGGTGGTTCAGAAAATCATAAATGCAAGAAGCTACATTGAAGATGTGGGGATAGGCATGGATGATATTTTGAAATAGAAGCATTTCTCTATCAAGAAGTTGTATTTACAAATGAGAGGTGATTTCCAAAAAGTATCATGGAGGAAACTAACATGTAACAACCTCGGATTACCCAAATGGATTTTTGTATTAAACTTGGCTGTACAGAACATGCTAATTACCAGAGATAGACTTATCGCTAGGGGAGTCATTGGCAATGCAAGATGTCCACTATGCAATGAGCTTTATGAATCTACAAATCATTTGTCCTTCTCATGTGGAGTATGTGTTGAGATATGGTGGAAGCTATTGAGATGGCAAGGCATTTACAGACATGCCATGAACTGGCAGAATGAAATATTATGGGCAGAAGCAAATGCTAAGGGCAGAGCTACAAGTGTTGAGATCTTTAGAATGACTAATGGCTGCTTGTGTATACCATATCTGGCATGAGAGAAATATGAGAGTGTTCCGGGGAAAAATCGACCAAACCAGGTGTTGATAAAGCTAATCATTCAAGAAGTAATTTGCAGAGGATCCAAGGAGACTAGACTGGCAAGGACAATTAAAAAGCTAAACTTTTATCCTTAGATGTCATGGTAGCTGTAAGTAGTAGACTGATGTAGTGAATTGTGTAGGGGAATAGAAGGTAGCGATGGTGAGATTGGGGTTGTCCAATCTCTGTTTACTTGTTTTGTTTCTTTTAAATACTGTACATATTGTTACTGGTAATAAAATAATTACTTATAAAAAAAAACTAATTATAATTGATTGGACAAAACCATTTAGTACGAAATAATAGTTGATCATTGGATTTTTAATAATAGCAAAACACGACTCTAAAATAACCCAAGCAAAGTCAATCTACCAAACATGTCTAAATAATTTAAGACGAGATATTACTTCGACCTGGCCTTTCCTTTTCTTTTGTTTTCCTTTTTTAATGAAAAATTAGAAAATTAGACTAAAATAATAAAAGGAGACACCACTGGGATCTGATCATTTTAAGATGTATTAAAGAATTATAATAGAGTACTATTTAATGTCAAATTTGAACTCTAACATAGCAATACATGACATTCCATAGTAGTTATCATGTGACTAGCCAAAAGGATTTTCCAGAAGCAAGGCCAATTTTATAAACATTTTTGGAAACCATTGCGCAATTCATGTGTGACAAGTGACAACTATATAACTCAACACCCTCCTGCGTGTATGTTACCCAATTTTGAAATTCACATGTTAACCTGCGGATGTGGAAATAGAGACTGTGATACCGTATGAAAGAATCTGAACCAACTACACATAAGTATAATACCTGACAACTGTACAACTCAATAGGGACAACAACTATAATTAGGTGGTATGAATTAAAGTTGTACATTCAACAAGGACAATGATAAGGAGTTATCTGGAAGTATTTTACAGACCGAACTCTTTCCTATTATAAAACGGAAAGCATAGTTCAATCAAGAAGCATATAAATTAAGTATTTGAACTGTTTTAGCAATGTCAAGTATTCATACAAAATTCATAGAAACTAGCTTGCTTAGTATTTTTGGATAAAGTACTATTCTCAGATCTGCGTCTTCATAATAAAATGTCCAAGCCTCAACCAATTAGATGAACAGCCACTCATGTTTCAACCACAAACTACTCGAAAAACATGAACTCCAATATCCTCTTTGCATGCTTTGATGCCCCCAAAACAAGGATACTCCAATCTTGAATACTATCTCAAAATGAATTTAGCCTGGCATGTAGCCATGTACCATATTTGCAGTGGAAATGCTAAAATTTGACAAAGCTAATCAGCACATAGTTATTTTGATAAAACATGCAAAGGAAGTAATGAGTCAATTTAAATGCAAGTAAAGATATTCATCTAGTCATGCTAAGGCATCGTGATGATATATATGAATTTTGAACCACTTTCATTCATGATGTATTTCTTTGACACTAGATTATTTGCAGAACTAGATCAATCACTCAGCCTAGACACTGAAAGAACCAGAAAATAAGCCACCTTAAAGGGTAATCAAGAAACGAGTAAATGTCGGCCTATTTGTCAGTAACCGAGCACTGTACCATAAGATTCTTCATGCTAACCTCTTCGCCATCTCTCTAATGCAGCACATAACTTTTTTCTTTTTTTTTTCTTTTTTTGTATTGTGCTCAGTTTATTCACTTTAAGATTGTATATTTAATCCAGTAACCTCAGTATTTACAGCTTCCACTCTTACTTCTATCTTCCTGGATTAGTCGTGAGATGGATCCAAAGATGGATATAGCATCATATCAAGAACGTAGAGAAAAGAATATGTTATGTTTACCAGTAATCACCACAAGAACAAACACCATTTTCAAAATGGTGAAACCTATTACGATCTCTTACAACAATTCTCCTCTGTGTAATCTTAGATATAAGCTTAATAACTGAATGGCAGTCATTGCAAACTCTAAGACTTTTTACAACTCTTATAGTGGTACATGGTTTGGTTGAGATCAAGCCATAGCATATTGCCAGCCTTTCGCTATGTATGCTCAAGGCCCACTTTTTCTCATGTTCTTCAATATCTTGTGAGATGACATCGGTTTCTGGAGCATAATCTTCTGATTTTAGCATATCGTCCAGCTCCTTCAGTTTATTGTATATTGCTTCCCTTTCGGGGTGTCTAATGTCTCCCAAAAGGAACTCATGGATCTCATTTTTCACTTCAATTGAACTGCAACCTGGTTCCTTTTGGACGCCTTCTTCTCTCAACTTTGCTCTCACTTGTGCTGCTTCCTTAAATTTACCCAGTGAAGCATAGACATTAGACAGAAGAATATATGTTCCAGAATCAGCAGCACCATACTCCATTAAAATCTTTGCAACCCTTTCCCCTAGTTCAAAATTTTTATGAATTCTACAAGCACTTAACAGCGACCCCCAAATTATATTGTCTGGAGCAATATTGGCTCTTTGTATAAAATCATAAGCCTCCTGAAGACGTCCCACACGACCAAGAAGATCAACCATACACCCGTAATGTTCAATTCGCCGTTCAATCCCATATTCAGTTTTCATACTTTCAAAGATGTCAAATCCAATGTCCACTAACCCACCATGACTGCATGCATTCAAAACAGCAGAAAATGTTATACTTGTTGGTTTAATTCCATCACGTATCAGTCTCTGGAATATTTTGATGGCCTCTGTACTCCTACCATTCAATGCATATCCCACAATCATAGAATTATAAGTGGTCACGTCTCTAGCTTCCAAGTCTTCAAAAAGGCTAGCTGCCTCATCAATATCTCCACACCTCGAATACATGTTCACCAAAGCTGAACCAACTATATGATTAACTTCAATGTTGTACTTCTCCACATACGAATGAACCCATTTACCAAGTTCTAGTGCTCCCAACTGCGCACAAGCCGATAGAACGCAAACAATTGTGACTTCATTAGGCTTCACACCTTCCATCTGCATTTCTCTGAATAACTCCAATGCCATATTCATTTCACCATTTCTAGCTAACCCATCAATCATAGCTGTCCAGCAAACATTATCCTTGGTAGAAACCAGCCAAAATTCATCCATCGCCTTACGCACTAATCCATGATCAAGATAACATGATATCATAACAGTGGAGGCAACAACATCTCTTTGAGGCATTTCATCAAACATCCTCTTTGCATCACTAAACTCTCCGCATTTTCCATAAAGCTCCACTAGCTTTAACCTCACGAATCTGTCCGAACACAATCCCAATTTCATGGCCTGGCAATGGATTTGTTCACCGCTGTTCAAATCGAGAGCAGACCCACATGCTTTCAGGACCAAAGGGATAATATAATTATCTGGTAAAATGAAATCTCTAACCATTTGAAAATAAGTTCTAATTCCATCACTGTAAGCACCCGAAGAGATAAACACGTCAATAAAAGCAGTATAGAGAAAAACATTCGGGTTTGAGGTTTTTCGAAAGATCTTGGAAGCGTATTCGATGGAGCAGCTTCGAGAACATACTCGAAGAAGCTCGAATAAAATAAAGGGATCATTTTTATTGCCATTCTTGATTATATGAGCGTGAATTGGAGCTGCCTGTTTTATGCTTTTGCATTTCTGTAACTTGATGAGAAATTGCTTTCGATCTTGGAAACTGTAGGGATTTGAGTACAAATATGGCGGGGACAGATGTGGTGACGCGGTGGCGCCTAGCATGAAGGCGATTTATCTGAAGCGAGTAAGGCGATTCTTTTGATTGAAAACAACTGTTGTTAACTCTTACTGCAAAAATCTTGAGGCAACAGGATACAAGAACGGTAGCCTAGCATGAGAGCACGTCTTGTTTATTCGTCTTTCGTTTTTCATAGTTATACTAAACTAATCTTTCTTTCTTATGCGACAAAATTAAACTGCTCTCAAGCTCCACTAATCTTGGGATTATGTGATACTTCTTAATTTTTTGTTCATCTCAACAAAAAAAATGAGTCTCGACAAAATAAAATATTTATATTTAATAATAATTTAACTTTAAATTTCTCAATTATACGTTAATGTTATGCTTTATAGTAACATAAATTTTTATAGTGTGCTTAACATAAGTTCAAAGGTTTTCTTTCATTAAATCAATATCTAGTAAAATATAATCACGTAAACTGAATGAAGGGAATACTAAGATTTTGATATAACATTTTTAACCGATATTTGCTAGTATTCATAATTAAATATTAAATAAATATAATTCTAAATTTTATACCGAGATTAGTATCATATTTCTAGTAATCAAATGATCTCATATAATTTTATGAGTCAAACAATTTTTTGAACATCTTTTTGTTACTCACTATATTTTATCTTATGTAACATTATTTCTTATCAGTTTGTCTCAAGAAATAATGACACTTTTCAATATTTATAATAATTTAATTTTAAACTTTTCATTTATCCTATGAGAAAAAACTTTTGTAGCCACACAAAAATTATTTAACGGAAAAGGGTCAGACTTGCACCTAACGTATCAACTCCAGTCTAAAAATGCCCCTCGTTATATTGCTAAGAATGACCCTACCGTTAAAAACTTAGTATAGTTATGCCCTTAGTTCTAACGGGTGACTTAAGATTTAAATTAACATTTTATTAATTTCACGTGGCTATTTCTGACTGGCCATTAAATAAGGCACACCCCAAATCGGATTTTACCCCACCCATAAACCATCCAGACCGACCCGACCCACTGAATATTATTTTACCCCCAAAACACCCGATTGTTAGGTCATTTTCACCCAGTTCATCACCAAATTACAGCAAAAGACTACATCCATCCACCAGAGATGCCAATTTGCTATTGAGACTTGCCAATTTGTTATTGAGGCTTGCCCCCCTTGAAGCATCAATCTTTGATAAGGCACAAAGTTCAACGAAAGAATACATGTAAGCCCGATTTTTTTAAGTTCCAATCTTATGGATTATATTCCATCATGCCTCATTCTAGTAATGATCGGGGCAATATGTATCTTTTGAACTCATGCGACTGAACTTAGAATGAAACTCTAAGCTGCCTACGTACCTCGGTAAAGAAGATCAAGTCATACCATAGTTCAGAATGGGTGAGTTATTTTTTTTTTTAATGTCCTAACTTTTTTCTAGGCCACCTCTTTCGAGGTTTTCAACCTAGCAGACTCTTTATTTTTTGTCCCATACACAGTTTATACTCTTGCAGGCCAAGAGTAACATGTAGTTTATGCTCTTGCATTAAAAAGCATAGCGACTTGCAATTTAAGCTCGTATTTGGAGGAGCTTTGCAACTTGAAGATTTTGCTCAAATTTGAAGAGCTTCATGACATGCAGTTTAGGCTCGTGCATCCAGGAGTGTTGTAATTTGAAGATTTAGCTTACAATTCGAAATGCTTTGCGCCTTGTAGACATGCTCAATTTTGAAGAGCTTTGCAACCATTAACACTTTGCTCGAATTTGGAGAGATTTACAAGTTGAAAACTTTTCTCGAATTTGAAGAGCTTTACATCTTGAAGTTTGGCTCTAATTTAAAAAGCTTTGCAACTTGAACTCTTTTCTCGACTTTGAAGAGCTTTCGACTTGAGTTTTTACTCAAATTTGAAAAACTTTACAACTTGAAGACTTTGCTCAAATTTGAAGAGCTTTACAACTTGAAGACTTTGCTCGAATTTGAAAAGCCTTACGTCTTAAATATTTAGTTAAAAATTGGGGAGCTTCGTGACATACAATATATACTCATGTACCAAGAGGCATTATAACTTGTAGTTTAGGCTCATGCGTTGAGGAGCATTGCAACATGCAATTTATGCTCGTGCATTGAAGAATATTATAACTTGCAGTTTAGGCTCGTGAGTTAAGGAGCGTTATGACTTGTAGTTTAGGCTCATGCGTCAAGGAGCATTATAACTTGCAGTTTAGGATCGTGCGTTGAGGAGCATTATAAATTGTTAGTTGAGGCTTAAGCTCCTATAGCGGTTGATGAAGTCAATAACTGGCTCATCCTTTCCTTGATGAGTATTTGTAAGTTCGATCATGCTTACGATGCGTCTTGTGCTATAGAAACGATTGAGAAACTCTTGCTCCAACTGCTCCCAACTATCGATAGAATCAAGTTCGAAATCGGTGTACCAATCCAATGCATTACCTTTGAGAGAACGAACAAATTGTTTGATAAGAGAATCATCGTACATTCCGACATTGTTTGCAAGTTTCAACAAAATGCGCTGCATGTTGTTTTGGATTTCCCTTGCTATCGAATTGTTGCAATTTAGGAGGTTGTTAACCAACATGCATCTTCAAGTTATCAATTCTTTGCGTATACGGCTTTGCATATGTGATAGATAATTTGGACGATGACTCAGACTTATCTTTGATAGCCTCCATGATGAAGTCATTTAATTTCTCAATGGGAATCAGGCCTTTGACGGAGACTTGGATCTCCTTGGTTGTCGTTGCTTGTTTTTCTGAAGAGTCTACTTTTTCTTGTGACCTTTGAAAATTTAAAGGTGTTTGTGTGGATTCTCATTCTACCATGCTATCCAATTTGTTTGTTAACTTGGAAAGTTTAGCATCTCGATCATGCATGTGCTTTGATAAGCCTTTAACTGCTTTCGTCAAATTTGCAAGTTGTTCTTCTATGGTAGAAGCTTCAATAACCATTGCTTGTATGATCGACGTAGAATATGAAGAATGATATAGGTCATTAGTGGGATAGAGCTCTAAGGTCACATTAATGAAGGCTATAGTAGATCCAGTGCTTAAGTCATCATCATCGGCTTGCATGAAGGGTTTCTTAGACTTAGATAAACTAAGTTGGGCAAGAATTTTTTCAATCACTTCGGCAACGTCGTTCCCTTTTTGGGTCATGATTTGATGGTAGGCTATAATCTCATGTTTTAGTTGATTATTACATTCCAAATTATTGTACTTTAGTTAAGTTTGAGCTTTAATCGCTAGTGTTTTGCACTAATTATGTGTTTTATGCCTTGTAGGAGTGATTCCGAGCTATATAGATATTATGGAATGAATTTAAGTGATTTGGAGATTTGAAGTCTGAGTAAAATCCCAAGGAATTAAGCCGGGATCGTATTCGGGGATCAATGGATAATAGTGGAATGAAACGAAGAATCGAGCAGGCATATTGCATAGTGTCTAGTAAAATGCACATAAATTTTCGCTCGGAACTCTTTTTGGGCTCTACAATATATCGTTGAAAATCTGTTTAAAAGGGCTACAACTTTCATGTTTTACGTTTTCTCAAATTCTCAAGTAGAACAGGGTGAACAGTGTGTGGCAGCGCACTGGCCGCGCATATTGGGCAGAATGGTGTGAAAAGTGCGCGGCCATATGTGCGGTCACCTGTCCCGGTGCGCGCCCGCGCACATCTGTCCGGAAAATTCCTATTTCGCTAATAAAGAGTATTTTCATCTGGGATTTATTTTGAAGGCGGATAAAACACCCCAAAATACCATTTTGAGGGACTTTTGACATACCTTAGACCTAGGGAAGCTTTGGAAAAGAAGGAGAAGCAGGAGTACAAGGATTTCATCCTTCCTTCCTCACTCAAATCCGGGTTTGGATTGTATTTATGTTTTCCTTTACTTTTATTTTATTTGTGAAGAACTTCTCCATGTCTATGGAGCAAAACCTTTTGGGTTTTGATGGATTTGGTGTATTGATGATTGTTTGTGGATTATAACTCTATTTTTATATATTTGAACCATTTTTGAAAGATTTAATTGTTGTATCTATATTCACTTGTTCTTGTAATCGAAATAGGCATAACTTATGATATATTTGCACTATATTACTGGTTGAGTTCATAGATTCTTCTAAGTAATCGAAAGAAGCTAGTTGAATCCTTGATTAAATCTAGTTAGGAGGATAATCGAAAGAGATTCTTCTAAAGACCAATCCATTTTGAATTCTTGCATATATTCGCCGAGCTTAAATTGGTTTATATTGTGAGGTTGAAACTTAATCGAGAGATGAGTTTCTACTAAATATTTGTACTGATAATTAAGTGAATTTGAGAGACTCACTTGAACATTAGAAGTGAATTATCTAGAGTTAGATCCCGAACAATTATCTTGCACCTATCCTATCAACCCATATTTTCTCCCATTGATAACTTCCTTGCTTACCTTTGTTGAGATTGTCATTAGTCAATAGTTGTAGATTTTAGATTATTAATTATATAAACCTCAATTGTTTATCCTCCTAGATAATAATCTAGCTACAAACTACGAGAACACTGTTTAAATCCATTCCATGTGGATACGATATTATACTATACTATCTTTGACTAGCGAGCACAATTTAAGTGTGTATTTTACGCTCGTCAAATTTTGGCATCGTTGCCGGGAATTGGCAATCAATAGTATTTGAAATAGTTTGGAGTGCCAATTCAGGAATTAGTTTTTATATTTTCTTTTCTTTCTCTTATTTTTAGTTTTGTTATGTTAACTTCTCTTCAAGATTTCTTTTGTTGAAGAAATCTTGAAGAGCATATTCTTGATACTGAACTCTAAATATTGTAAAGATGGAGTTCAACCAACCTAAGAAAATGGTTGAAGAGTTAGCAGCTGAACATTGTCAATGGTCTGCTATGTGCTTTAAATGCGGTGGAAATCATCTTTGGGTTGATTGTCAAGCAGGTAGGTATTCTTCCTATGGTTCACATTTTGAAAACTCTTATTCTGTCTCTAGTCCTTACAGGTATGAGGATTCATATGGTTACAATTCTGACTCTGGTTGGGATGAATACACTTATTATAACTGGAATGAAAGCGAAGTGAGACAACCACCTTAAGATGAGAATGGTAGTTTAGAAGAGCTTATGTACAGGTTCATAAATAAGGTGGAAGAGAGGTTTACACAA